TTTTTTTTTTTTTTATCTCGTCTCTTCTGAAAGAACAAAGGAAAAGAAGTAAACCAACAACTCGTGTCCTGTGTAGTTCAAAAAAACCAAGATACCATGTTTTCGTTTACTTTCCAACTTCATCGTTTTCACGTTTTCAAAGCCTTCTCTCGCCAGAAGTGCACCGATAAACCCACCCTTTTCTTATCTCCTTCAGATTTAATCTTCAATAAATCACTGTTTCCTAAGAAAGGTGCATGCTTCCTCTCGAAGTTATCCACAGATGCCGCCTTTATCTATTTTACCAGTGTTCATTCTCCTTTTCTTCTTCAGGATCAATCTGAATTTCATGTTAGTACAAAAACAGTACCTAACAAACATTAGCGAGTTTAACATTAATGCCAACACCTTTAATGTGATTGATTGAAGCATTTAAGATATTTAGCAAGATGTGAAGTTATAGGCTATATCATGACAATGTGATTTGTTCTTTCTTTTGTTTTGTCGTACTAATGAACACAACAAATATATGTGAACCAAGGTACATTATTTTATTTTTTTCCCCCAAAGAAAAGAGGATGAGAGAAAATAGTACACTTGAGCGAGCTGCTACTGTTCAGCCCAATATGCTATAGCCAACACCTATATGGTCAAATGCTTTCAATTTCTTCATAAGCCACTCCCTACCCACGCTTGAGATGCCTGATACAGAGGTTATTTCATAAGTGGCTTACCGGAGGGGAGAAACAGGGTCAATCGGACAACACAATAGTATGACGTATTTGATCCTATGATCTACACAGGGGTCGTACGTGAATTTGAGTTTAAGCTTTCAATATCGAGAGGAAATCATAAGGTAGGGAGAACATGAATGAGGAGAATGTGCGTATGGGTTTCAAGTATGAGCACTACACGCTTCTGACATCACCAAAGGGGCAGGTGTATGAGATGTTCGAAAAGCAGGGGGAGGCTAAGATGTTTGGGATGCCTCAGCCCTACCTAAGAAAGCGGGGAAAGTGCCGGTACGAGGAGATCCTTATTGTAGGTATCATCGTGACTATGGACATTGGACGAACAATTATAAGAAGCTCAAGGATGAGATAAAGAGGCTTATAAGAGCTGGTCACTTGAAGGAGTTTATGGTTCAGGATAGAGAGAAGAATGATGATGCGGAGGGGGAAGAGAAGACGAGGAGGCAAGAGAAGTAGGG